AGACAAAGAAATATACCCATTCTTTTTTTTCAATATCAATCAAAACGCTAAAAATCTTATTGACTGTAGTCAATGAATATAAAGAGAATGTGATATCACAAGTAGAACATTTGTTAGTGTATACAGATTTCTTGCAACAAGCTTTTTTATTTATTTATTTTATAATAAGAAAATAAGTTTTACAATTTGACAACCCTAGCCGTGAGAAAACGTCCACGCGTAAACATTGACTTTGACAGATGCAAAATTTTCTCTCAACACCCCACGCAGCGCCCACTGATAATATTTTTTATTTATATTTTTACAAGCATTATTTTTTTTAATTCAAATCTGCGCCATATTTACTAGTACAACGTAACAAAATATTCTTCATCATCATCATCATCAGCTCACTATACGTCCCCACCGAGTGGCTCGGAGCCTACCCTAAGTTAAGGGTGATTAGGCCATAGTCAACCACGCTGGCCTAGTGCGGGTTGGTTGACAACAAAATAATACGATATTTAAATTGTTTTTGAAGTATGTAATGTCGATTAAGCGAACGGTCTATATGTTTCATAAGTCTATGGTAACATAAATATCATAGAAGTACCAGATCACAAAAGTTAAATTCCAGTATAGCGTTTAACCAACATCTTTCATTAAAACAATACGGTCGCTCTCTGCATATTTTACGCTGCCTTTTCACTTAACAAGGGTGGACGTGGAAAGTGTTTTTCTTTTTAATAAATGTCGAAACAAGATGGCGTCGCGTCATTAATCAGCCACAATTGCAAGAGTCGTGGACACGTGACAAATGTTGCCACTGGCCTCCAGTGCTGGAAAGGCCTATTACATTCTGCATTTTATCTTAACTATTATATATACTTTAGTATTTTAGTATACCAAGGTATTATTTATATTTGATCCATAAAACATATGTAATGAAGCGTCAATAGCCTATGGTTAAGGGTACTGATTTCCGATTACGTGGTCGAGAGTTCGAATCCCGCCATTCGACTATTGTCGTAAACCATGTCCTAGCAACAAACATAGACTTTAGTTGGAATGATACAAGAAATATTAGTAAATTAACAAAAAATCGCTTAATATTTAAGAAAAATTAAAACATGAGGATACATCGATGAGAAATTGTTATTATAATTGGATGAGAAGATATGAATAAAACAAATAAATAATTATTTAACCATTAAAAGAGAAATGCATAGTAGGCTTACGTTCAAATTATGTTAAACATAATAATTGCCTTTTTGTTTAGTTACATAGACAATATAGTTTATGTACACGATTGTACATACAGGCATGTACATTCGCGCACACAAGCGGATGGCAAGTCACATCGATCACTGCTACGTATCCGGTATTAATGGCATCAAATGCAACAGAACTACATACAAACGTCTACTCCATTAAGCCATTACCGCTTGAGTGTACTTAATTTTTATTTTATTAACTAAGATGTATCTCGGATAAAACTGTGTAAATTTATATTGATAAAATGTTCATTTTACAAGAGCTCAAGGACAGTTGATAATAAACATATTATTTTGTAATATTTATGATTTAAAAAGAAAAAAAATCCGTTGATTGTGTTTCTAACCTAACGTTGAAACTATGAGTAACTAGCTGTCGACTCTGTCCGCGCGAAATTAAAAAAAACTTTATAAGTAGCCTATGTGTTATTCGGACTATGTTTCACGTCTATGCAAAATTTCATCCGGATCCGTTCAGTCGTTCTGGAGATACCTTCAACCAAACATACATCCATCCATCTAAACATTTGTATAATATTAGTAAGATGTAAACTAATTGCGAATTCTCATTAAAAATTCTATCTTTTCGAAACGAAAAGAAATCATTTTTTTTCTGTAAAATATATCTGATAACTAATTAATAGTTGAGTAGATAATGTAACTTAAAAGATGCTGAGTTTCATTTACTTAAACACAACTAGAATTTTATTCTTACCAAGTTCCGAGCATTCACTGTCTTCTTTCAAATATTTCTAAAGCGCTTTTTGTATCAAAATGTATTTAAAAATATTTTACGCTGAGACTAAAAAGGAAAGCATCTTTTAATAAAACAAAAACCCTCTACACTTTAATGACATAGCGTTTTTTTTCCTCGACGTTTTAAAACAAAATACTTTTATAACTGTCAAAACAGAATAAACCTATTAATCAAATGATGGTAAACATTCAAAGAAGGAAAGATGAAACAAAAGAAATGAAAAAAAAATGTAATAATACTTCACGACCTTATTTACAAAGATAGGCAGTATAGAAACAAAGAAAACTGTAACTTACCTTGAGTTTCTAAGACCAAAATCTCTGTTTAAAACATTGCTATCTCTGTTTTGTCAAAGATATGTTTTAAACGGAGATTTTGGACACAATACTCATAGTAAGTCATTGGAATTTGAACTCTATGATAAGCCAAAAAAGACGACTATAGCGTACCATTTACTTTTGCGTTTTTTTGCTATTAATTAATGTAAGGTTTTTAAATAAACTTTCTATCTTAAATTATTCAAACTTTCGTGAGACATTATACTAAACTGATATATAAACACTCACGTATATACGTCCGCGTGTGAGTTAGCGACGGGCCGCGTCCGCGCAATAATAACAGTACCACGCATCCTGATGAAGGGCCCCCGATGGGCTCGAAACTAGTCGGTGCCGCCACCGGACGTATATACGTGAGTGTTTAGCCGTGTTTATATATCAGTTTACTTTCTATCTTTTTTCTTGGAAACACTTGACACGTGAGTTCAAAGTATAAGACATACATGTCATGTATTAATATAAAAATCTTATAAAAAAATTACAACGTAGTATCATTCATCTAAAACGACACCAATGAAAAATATCATTCACTTATAGCTCTTAAAAAATTCACCCCCTTTTATACCCACCCTGTTGAAGCCTATTCACACCCCTAGTCCGCAAACAAGCCGCGCGCCCCGAGTAGACATTGCCCTTTACATCTGAATGCCTGAAGAGTTATGATATAAGAAAAGCTTATGCAGGCTTTATATTACAAAAAAATGCCTACTTCATATAGAGCAAAATTGTGTTATTTGAATAGTCAAAAATATTATTTAATTTCACTTATTCTATTTAATCTTATCTTACTAATATCATAAATGTAAATGTTTGGATGGATGGATGTTTGTTTGAAGGTATCTCCAGAACGACTGCATAGATCTCGCTGAAATTTGGCAAGGTTTTAGAACATAGTATGAACGATCGCATAGGCTACTAATTAAGTTTTTTTATTGGCTTGCGGATGGAGTCGCAGCAACAGCTAGTAATGAAATAAACTAACAAATATCCTACGATTGAAAAAACTAAAATATTTTCATGTTCTAGTGTACTTAACAAAGTCATATACAAAATTAAAATATTTCTAGACTGTACAAAAATCAACATGAAAACCTTTTTAATACCACAAACAAAATCTTATATCTAGATGTTAGGCAGTTTCCATTAATGTCCGAATTAAGTAACTCGATAAAAAAAAAAAAAAAAATTCGGAAGTACAATATATGTTACATCTGGCAAATCTCCAAGATTACAAGAATATGTATATTTATTTATCTTTAGATATTAAAGTAATCGAGCATCGGTGGCTCAGGGGTAAAGCACTTGACTTGCAATCTGCAGGTCCTGGGTTCGAATCCCGCCATGTAAAAAAGTGTTTTTCGATTTCCGATTTACATATGTACATTTATCCGAATAACTGCACATATCTGAGAATAAATTCATAGATATGTGTGAAGTTAACCCGCACTTGGCCAGCGTGGTTGACTATGGCCTAGTCACTCGTAACTTAGGGTAGGCTCCGAGCCCCTCGGTGGTGACGTATAGTTAGCTGATGATGATGATGATTAAAATAATATCTTACTTATATAATATTTCATCATTTATTAGTCAAGAAATTATTTAGCAAGTCTACGCATAATAACGATTTCAATAGCCATGATTTGTCATTATAGACACGGTATAAAAAGGTATGTTTAAGCTGAAATGATAATGTTTATATACATTTATCCCACGAACCTTTGACTTACACGAAAAGCCTTTTAAAACGAGCAGATGAACGATAAAACCTTCTTGAAACAGACGTGAACGAATCGGTACATGAACGTTTGAGCGACGTACAGTAATTACTGAACAAACATCTTCCCACTTTACCCTTTCCATCCTCTCCCCTTCCATGTTAACTTCACTTACTTCACCGTGTACGTATTTTGTGAGTAAAAATACGAGTTAATTTATATGCAAATTACTTTCGCCGAAGCGTAGACTCCTCTATTACCAATTAAGTTTAATTTATTCGCACTAGAACTTTATTAAAAAAGAGATGATCATTAGAAGGTTAATGACCTAAGCTTAGAATTAAGTCGCCCATTTGTCGAAGAAGTAAATATTTACGTAACTGGCAAATTAAGTACAAAAACCAAAATCACGTTTGCGCCTTTGTTTTTTGACAAAAAATCTACAGTATGTTCCTTAGATTTCTTTAAAGTAATGTGCGAAAACACGGATGTGATATCATACTCAATACAAAAATTCTTACTAAAGGCAGTAAATGACCCTTTTTATAGCTACATATTTGCAAGATGTAATACTACGGTTGTAAAAGGTCGAAAGCTCCGAGTTGGAAGTTTGAATGATTTACCATTGTCGGGGTACAAAAGTCATTTGGTAAACGCTTTCACGTCAAGAAGGAGCAAGTAAAAACCGCCATTACAGTGCCCCGACGAGAAATAGGCGGGATTCAGTCTATTAACGTCTAATATCTCGACAACTTTTGATGTAGAAGTTGAAAGCTACATGCGAACTTGCACGTTTAAAACAAGTTAGGTAACGGATTGTGTATTTGATGTAAGTTATTGATCGACAGACTGTCATAAAATAGTCGGTATTTTATGACAGTCTGTCGATCAACTTACTTGATATAAACAGTATAAAAAAGTACAAATAGACACTCACCTTGAATTAGATCTTTTCGATGAGTCGTGTTTCTTGCCGCCCTGCAGGTTGGGCAGATCCTTCTGCCGTTTCTTCGTCTCCCGCCATATCTTATAGTACAATATACACATCACTGTAACGGGCACATAGAACGCGGCGATCGCTGTCCCGAACGTAATGAACTGATTGGTCTCAATGAACTGAATGTAGCACTCGTGCGGGGGCACTTTGCGCTCGCCGTCGATGTACGGCCACGCGTAGATCCAGGGCGGCCACAGCACGAGGCTGAAGCCCCACGCCCCGCCTATCATCACCTTGGCGCGACGTGTAGTCCTTTTGGCGCGGTACGTCAGCGGCCGCGTCACACTGAAGTATCTATCGAAACTAATGATGAGCAGGTTGAGCACGGAGGCGTTGGAAGCGAGGTAGTCGAGCGCCAGCCAAGTGTCGCAGATGTGCGGCCCGAGCGGCCAGTAGCCGAAGATAGTGAACATGGTGAAGAGCGGCATGGATATGAGGCCGACCGCGAAGTCGGCGACGGCGAGCGAGAACAGGAAGTAGTTGCTGATGGTCTGAAGCTGCTTGTCTATCTTGATGCTGATCATGACCATGGAGTTGCCGACGACGGTGAGTACGGAGAGCACGCTGCCCACGATGGCGATGACGATGGTCTGCGCCAGGCTGTAGGGGCTGGCGGGCAGGGCGGCGGCCAGCTCGGTCAGGTTGGCTGGCACGGAGGAATCGTTGAGCATGACGTCAACTCGGCGAGCCCAAGGCCCCCGCTCCGCCCCGGCTCTTACGCCGACCCAGAGCCGAACCGCCTGCAGACAAACAACACTAAGTTAAGACATGCTCATAATTGTAGGTCAGTAATACTATGGTAATTTTATCCTTAGAATACTACAAAAGTAAACTTTATTAATTAAACTTCTCGTACCAATAACATTTTGATTTAGGATTTATGAAATTATTTTCAGAATTAAGTAAGTCATGAACAAAATAAACTTCAATAGTAAGGTTCGTTAGAATTCAATTTGTTGTCGCCTCCGAAGTGTCCATTAGATTCGTTGAATAGAAACCAAGGCTTTATTAGATCACGAGCTTGCTATTCCCTTCGATACTGCAGACGAAATACAACCCAAAACATTTAGCATACGGTTGGAATTGCATCTTGTATCTGCAAACGGCAGTCTCAGGTTGATTCAAGTGCCTGTACCGGAACAATGTTTGTTCATTAAATTGAACGTAGTTTGTCTGTCCGTGTACAAACGAGCTGTGACACGTGTTTACCAAAACACGGGCTTCTGTTTTACACGTGTGATATAATTCAATGTGAATAACAATCATCGCGACCTATATCATAATATGACTAGTAAGATTATGAACTAAAAAAAGGTCAGGACGTTCAAATATAAAGGCCTCAGTGCCCATTCTCAAATTGATTCTAGCGTGAAATGTTTAATAAAATGCTACGTCCAAATGAGGTAACATCTGTAAAGTTGACGCTTCAGTACTGACTCTCTCGTAAAATATGTCATAATCTTGTTGTGTACCTTCTGTCATTGTATTATACATATAACTCGAAAATATGTACACGTCAGTGAACCGTAATCTTCCAACTTTCCACCTGCGCTCTGACTTTAAAATTAAAATCTGCTTTTATTTATTTCACCGGATTTTTGCTCGACAAGATGTTATGTTATTCAGAAATATATTAATACTAGCTGACGCCCGCGAGTCTCTCCGCGTAGAATTAAAAAAAACTCGATAAGCAGACTTTGTGTATTTCCAGACTATGTACTACTCGTGTGCCAAATTTGATAACACTCCGTTGAGCCGTTCTTAAGATGCCTTTAAACAAACATCCATCTATTCATCTATCCACTATTTAAACATTCGCATTTATAATATTAGTAAGAAATAAGATGGAGTTTCTTACTGTAACACTCAGAGTCGAGGTTTTATAATCACTATGAGTCTAAAAGTCTTTTTAAGAAATCATTGAATAAAGTTAAATGCGGGTTTCTGTAACTAAAATCCCCGTTTAAAACATATTGTTATCCCTGTTTTTGTCAAAGATAATGACAGTAATGTTTTATACAAAGATATTTGGTCTCAAAAACCAACAGTAAGTGCGTTATTTTTTAATTAACTTCTAATTAACAAAAAAATTATTAATTGGTCCGTGGGGTCCTAGCGCTTTAAGGCTTTTTAAAGACCTATCAAAAAAGTTAATCCACATCGCAAGGGACCAAAGAGCTGGCAGCCACCTCGGACAAAGAATTAGTTTAGCTATCCAAAGGGGGAACGCTGCCAGTATCTTCGGAACCAAGCCTAAAGGGACTCCTTTTAATAATATATTTTAGTAAATTATTCGTTTTTAATATGTTATTTAATATCATAGATTTAAGACTTTTCATGTAAAGTTTATAATATTAGGTGTATATTAACAACGATTTTTAAGTATAAATAAAGATGTATAAAATGCATCCGTGGCATTTGTAATCAATGTTTTTCTACGCTATTAAATAAGCGAAGTTAGATTTTAAAAATGAGAATCATGTACTTCTTTCGACAAACATTACGCCAATCGAATGGAATCACTTCGATATCACGAACACTTTGCAACGATATCTACCGCAGTTTGCAACGCTTCGGGGAGAAGCGAGCGATGTTTGCGAACGGTACCCAAGTACTTTCCTAACATAAATGTAGATTCACAGAAATCATTTATATTCCCATGTAAAGGAACTTAAGTTCATTGAATTGGTAACACAAATATGTTTATTTTGAAGTTGATATTAAAGACTATGTTTAGCAGAAATTGAAATGTTAAGTTATAAACTAATTTAGCATAAACATAATAGAAATTACAACTTAATAACAATAATAAATAACGACTGAAAATTATATATATATAATTTTCAGTCGTTATTTGACCATATAAATAAGAATTTCAAAGTGATTCAAATCGTATCGAAATTATATCGTAATTAAAAAATATTTGTTTATGATGCTAGCTGTCGCCGGTGAATCCGTCCGGGCGGAATTAAAAAGCATAATAAGTAGCCTATGTGTTCTGATGATGTTCTACATGTGTGCCAAATTTCTTCAAAATCCATTCAGCCGTTCCGAAGATACTCTCAAATACCCATTCATCCATCCATCCAAACATTCGCATTTATAATATTAAGATCAATACAATGAACAATGTATGTATGGTACATGTATGGACATATACATTGGTTTTAAACTGATATATAAACACGGCTAAACATCACTTATATATCAGTTTAGTATAATGTCTCACAAAAGTTTAAATAATTTAACATTGGTTTTAATTACTCAGTAGTTATTGCCAGATTGGTGCAATGGAATTTGTTGAATATTAAATAGCCTGGTTAACCACAGAGGAGTATATTATGTAGAGCTGTAGTCGGAGGCTTAATTTAGGTTCTCTATCCTTTCCTATCCTTTTCTTAAAAGGATGGGTTAAAAAGAGTTGGTGAATTTGATGGGGAAGGGGACGCAATGTTATGAGATATATTTTTTCTTTTCGTTCCCTTTCACGATTAAAGGTTGGTAACATATCTGCAAATGCGGATGTCTGTGGGCAATGGTCTCTTTGTTATAGTCGAACTTGGGTGGTCGCTTGATCGTTTCTACCCTTCTAATCAATCTTCTTACGTTCAACCTGTCGATATAAACATATTTTTTCACCAAGGAATAGCTTAAGTGAACGCTCAAACAAATGCCATCTATCATTTTGAAATTTTGAGTAAAACAAAATGTTTGCTTCCCCGTTAACAATTTTCTTATTAGTGGAACACAATAGCGTTATTTTGTGCTCCTTTACTTTTGTGTGTGTGTCTTTTATCTCGAACGCCGAATTGTTTTCTATCAAAAAACATTTTTGAGGCGCTTATACTTAACTAAGCTCTTGTAAAATTATAATTAAGCCTTTTTGTTTTAATATCCGTTAGGAAATTATTTTGTCGGAATTTCTACGAAATATTTACTTAGATGACTGAAATGAAGAATTCTCTTTAATAATTTTAAAAATGTTCTTTTTTTTTGCAATTCTCTAAAAAGTTTCAACAATTAAATACCGCATCCAATTTTATAATGCCATTGTAAAGTATTATTTTGAATTTAGTAAAAAATAGGTTCACTAAGTTTAGTTTGCGGCTTATTTCGCTTAATTCCTCTATTTTTAACAACACTTCTTTAAAAGTAAAAGCACCATAATAAACCGTATTGCAAAGTTTTTTTTTTTAATGAATCCTGTAAAAACTTCCCTAATTTTATTTTTATAAATTTGTAATTTAATCCGACATTGTTACCTCGTAGATAAAACTTCTTTATAAAAGATCGATAAAGTTTGTTCATAAAATTTTGTAGTCAAATTGAAATTATTAATTTACAGTAATTTCAGATGCGAACTAAATAAGTTTGAAGACTTTGTCGCCTAATCATTATTCGTAATGAGGTAGTTAATCATCTTGAAATAATTAATTAAAATATAACGTCATGAAAAATAAAACAAAATACTAACCGCAACTAGTAATAAGATTTAAAATTTAGGAAAAAGAATATTAAAGACTAGCTGTCGCCCGCGACTCCGCCCGCACAGAATTAAAAGAAGAAAATAGTATCCTATTTGTCCTTCAAGAATATGTTCCACATCACGAATTTCATCAATATCCGATGAGCTGTTTTGTAGGTACTTTCAAACAAACATCCAACCATCTAAATATTCGCATTTATAACATAATATTAGTAAAATTATAAATTTATTTTACCTACATTTCAAGGTCTTTGTTTTTTAATTGATATGCAAATTATTTCCATATAGCCTGTAATAATACAACTAAGAATTAAATAAATACGATGCGTGCTTTAAAAATATGAGATGCTTTGGGAAGCGTCAGTGATGAGAAAAACCTTGACACATTTCTGCGGTTCGCAGCTGTAACATTTGTCGTTGAAAATTAATTCGTTGTTTGCACACTCTATATCTCTTTTATCGTTTTGTTTGTACACATCTTATTGGAGAGAATTTATTACTTGATATAAATATAACATAACTTATTAGTTTACACAGTTCAAACTTACACGACATGTTATGTCTGTTTTATAAAGAGAATGAGAGGGAAATTCCAATGTATTAGTATGAGTTTTTCGACAGTGGAAACAAGACTTTTAAATATTCATTCTTTCTCGTAAGAACAACAGATATATCCAAAATTCTCATGATCATCTTGCAAATGCTTGTAATTGTAATTTCCAATTCATCTAAAAATTTGAAAAAAAAACTTCATACTTATTGCCCTTGGAAATAATTAACAAATTTGTAATAGAAAAATTCAAAGGATTTCCAAACTATTATTTTATAATGTAAAAATCTATCCCAAATTATCAACATACATTGACAAAATATAGTAAATATTACGACGGAAGGGATGGCTTTGTAAACTTGAATCGAAATCCGTTCTCTATCCGAAGCGGTAGTGAGCTATGATTTAGTATCGCCGGTTATTACCGCGCGGCACTAACGGGCCCCTGGCAAGCTCCTGGCCGGCCCCTGGCGAGGTGCCAAGTGCCGGCTGCAGCCTCGTCCCCACCGAGACACATATTGCAAATACCGAATCGAATGTTGATGGTTATTAGCAGTATTCATTCAGTATTTCTTTCAATATATACCTAATTCAATGCTTTTTAATTATAAATATTTATATAATTATTTTTTACATAATAACGTTTTTATTTCAATGCATGTCATTGGCTTTTTATGTATCATAAGGTGGCAAACGAGCAGGCGGCCACCTGAAATCGCTGAAATAGCGAAGTGACCGTTGCCCATAGACACACGCAATTGCATATGCGTTGCCTACCTTTAATCCACAGAGGAGAGAATGCACAGAAAGAAAATATATTCCCTTTCGATGCATCTTCTCATCCGGAAAGTCCACTTCCACTTCCCATCCTTTCCTTATAAGAAAAAGGGTGGGAAGGGAAAGAGGACTAAATTAGGCCTCCGGGACGCACACTCAACAGACGAAACGCGGAATTGCTTCCACTTGACGCCTGTCTTCTGTGTAGTCGTGGTATTTCACCGGGCGAGCCGGGCCAATTCGTGCGAAGATGTTAAAGCGGGCTACCACTTTTAGTAAACTATTGCTAATTTTATTGTCTTCCTTTTATATTTCATTCACATGTATAAAACTTAATTAATTTTGGACGTTGTACTTGACAAGCAGTGAAACTAACCCCTTAAAATTCTAAGTGCTTTAAAATGTAACGAAATGATGCATTTCCAGCTATACCGGAGGGCAACTTGAAATGACCCGGAAAAGGTCCATTGAATTCCGTATTTTATTCATGAAAACTTTACTAGAGAGCGTTCCTAGTGAAAAAAACTACCTCTGGCCACAGCTGACTGTGAACACTTTAAGTAAGAGTTGATTTTGTAAATTTTATTACGCTTTAAAAATGTTAATTTTAGAATTAACTTTTAAATTGTATGACTTTGAACAAACTGAAAAAAAAAAATCAACAACAAAGAAAAACTTAATTGTTTTAAAAAGATTATCCGAAAATACTTATATTTAAAAAACAAAATGAAATATCCAATTGGGTTCCGATTTCTTTCAAGGGTAAAGAATAGGCACTTACTAGACTAGTGCATACCATTTTACGATTACATCACAACTTTACATCAGAATTCGTGGTTATTCATTTTCAAAATAAAAAAAAAAGATTGTATATTATATTGTAGTAACAGAGCGTCGGTGGCTCAGGGGTGAAGCAGTTGATTTGCAATCTGCAGGTCCTGGTTTCGAATCCCGCCATGTACCAATGTGTTTTTCGATTCCCGATTTACACATGTAAATTTATCCGACATTCTTACGGTGAAGGAAAACATCGTGATGCAACCTGCACATATCTGAGAAGAAATTCAAAAGATATGTGTGAAATCAACCAACCCGCATTGGATCAGCGTGGTTGACTATGGCCTAGTCACCCTTGATTTGAGGGTAGGCTCCGAGCCCCTCGGTGGGGAAGAATAGTGAGCTGATGATGATGATTATAGTAACAATTATTTTCATGAATAACAGCAATGATGGAACTTATTTAATCCAGAAAAACAATATCCAATCGACAGTTTCAATTGCAATTGATTTCGAAAGTAACTCTTAAACTATTTATAGTACAAGAGTAAGTAAAGATATACTTTCATAAGTAAACGATATTTTATCGTATCGGAATACGAACTACTTAAATACATAAATGATGAAGAATAAAATGCGAAATATCGATATTTTCAAAGCTCGAATACTCATTCGAAAGCTTTTAAGAAAATGAGATTATTAATACTCATGTGGGAATGCGCGCTGCAGTAACTAATGCATCAACATAAAGATTTTGTAAAGGAATTTCATAATACTATAAAGATATAAATACATAATAGATTATTCTTATTATTATGGCGAGTCTCAAAGTTTTTAGCTTTTATATACTTTAACACTATATTATGTATAGGTACTTTTAGAAATTAGTAATTAGAATCCTTTAGCGCGAATGACGCGCTTTTATTATAAAGTGTCAGAATGATTAGTTAAGGGATATAAACGTCGATATCCTAGTAAGACTAGTGTTGCACCAGTATACCGGCACAGTGTCGGATTTTCTTCCTAACAGTTCTATCTTACTAATGTTATAAATGCTAAAGTGTGGATGTTTGTTAGAAGCTATTTCTAGAACGGTTGTACGGATCTGTCTGAATTCGCGTAGGTATTGTAGTAGTCTGGAATTACACATAGACATAAGTTTTTTTCCAAATTCTGTGCTGACGGAATCGCGATTGACAGCTAGTATACTAAAATTGTACAAAAATTTCATTTACTTCGTTTAAGTACTTCGTTTTGTCTATATCAATTATTTAACTTGTCACCAAACCAAGTAGACCTAGGCTATACATATCAGACAAACGAATGCGGGTTCTTAGTCAATGGTCTTATTTTCCTTTGCCTCCAAATAAATATTTCAAGTGTCCTTCTGAAACGTAACAAAAGTAAACAATAAGCATTTTTAATAATAGCTTCAATAACGAAAAATAAACAGGAGCGTTGGCTAGAGTACTGGAAAAATACGTACCTAAGATTAACTTTTTTTTTCTTTTTTTAATAGTGGAGAAGATGTTTTATTTTTGACGAAAATTTGACCTTAAAATAATACATTTCTTGTGCGCTATTGCGACACAATTATTATAACTTCAGTGACTTTAGAACAAAAACAATAATATAATCGACAAAAACTTAAACCAATTTATGATCAGAGATTTTTCCTTGTTTTTATCTTTTTATTCCATTAAGATTTACTAACAGTGCTAACGTGGTTTTTCTCTTTGGAATGCAAAAATATATGCACAGGTTTTGACAGTAGAAAAACTCGGTTAAGCTATCACAAAAACAAATGAATTTGCATTAGTATCTTAAGCCCGCTACACACCTTCAGTTGCGACTACACAGCTTAAACTGAACAATCAGACTGTACAGTTAAAGCCCGCTACACACCGTCACTGTACACTGAAAGATTACGTCCATTAAACTGTTTTCAGTTTTGTCTACACAAATAAATTAATAGTAATAGTTCTACTGTTCAGTAAAATAAATTTAAATTGCAGGTGTGTCGCCGGCTTAATAATATCAATTAAATCAAAGACAACGCTAGATGGATTTTTCGAGTAATTTTGCTTTATCTTAGTTTTTACGATCAATTTAGTTTTTGTCCGGCTAATATGTATATCACAGGTACATATATAAGTATGTTTGTAAGTATACATATGTATCTGTTCCTTTATTTTTGAAGCGAATTGCCTTTTGATACGTATTGTCCTTTAATCCTAATCCTGCTTCCTTTTTTCCTACTCTCCCAGACATCTTATTCTGACGTCATCATATTTGAATTCGTTCCATTCTTTCGCATATTTTCTTTTACACAATCCATCCATACTTTCTCCGATCTTCCATTACCTTTCTAGTCTATATACCTATATATAAATCAATTTCTGTTCGTTAGTCTCGCTAAAACTCGAGAACGGCTGAACGGATTTAACTTAACTCTTGTCTTGAAATGTTCGTGGAGATCTAGGGAAGGTTAAAAGGTGAGAAAAATTTGAATAATTGTCGAGAGCTAATTAAGTTTTTTTTCATCCCACAGAGACGAAGTCGTGGGCGACAGTATATAAAAATAATACAAAATATTTTATAGTTTAATTTGGCGATACTAATAAATTATAGCAACTAGTTTTGTTTTACAAGACGTGTCGTCAAACGAAATATAATTCCTCGCTTACCGTTGAATTTTAATTGCGAACTTAAGAAAACCATGATATTACGTGAGCGCGATTTTTTATTTCATGCATTTCATAGAAGTTTTAATTACTTTGCATTACAGAAATATACATAAATTACTAGTAAAACTAAAAGTGAACAGAACAGCAAAAACAAAGTTTGAATTAATAATGTTGTTTTGAAGTTACGGTCAACAGATCTTACACGAAGTGTGTTATATTTTTTTCTCTACATAACATAGAGACACATTAGTTAATATGCATACTTATATAGATTTTTTTCTTATAATATGTTATTGTTTTCAAATTAATCGAAGGCATTTAAACATTTAAAAGTCACGTAGTAAACAATTAATAAATCTTATTATATTTAAATTAGATTTTCTGACATCATCAGATTAGTTTTGATCAAAAATCGTTCTTCGAAACAGGTCACAGCAACTTTTTAACTAAGTACTTACACGTCGCTTACATATCGTGACTCAAGACTTCAAATCATAAAAACCTAAATCGTTTTATTTTGCTTTTTTACCGAATGAATTTAAAAAGAAACAAATGTTAGTTTGAATCAAATTAATTAGTCAGATTTAGGATCACCGCGCATTGCTCCACTCCTCTTCCACCCAACACAGCACGGCAGGGCACCAACCCGCTTCTTGATCGCCGCAGCGTTGCCGTTTGGGCGAGGAATGGAACAATGCGCGATAACCTTTACACTTATGCTTTCTTACTTATGTGTTTACAATAATTTGAAGAATACGAAATAACAAATCTAAAAGTTTTTATTTTAGAGATACCAAAACAGTTTTGATAGTGGGTGTGTAAGATATGGTACAAGTTATAGTAAAAGAAGGTATACTCGAGGGAGAAGTGGTCGAGAATGATCTTGGAGGTCAGTTCTACAGCTTCAAAGGTATTCCATACGCTGAGCCGCCTCTTGGTGAATTAAGATTCAAGGTATATTATTCTATCGTTTCTTAACATCAATAAAACTTTACGTCATTTTAAAGTAGTCCAGAACAATATATGAGTTAAAAAAACGATAATATTTAAACAGCCATGTTTTAATTGTCAAAGTAGATTAAATATTTATATTTGGGCCACGGGTTTCGGTCATCTGAAAACTTTTGTGCAGTTTGCCGACTTTTTAAAATGTTTCATATGTTTAAATTATTTGTGAATGTTTTTTTTTTATTAAATACCATCGACACAAGTAATAAAATAATTATACATTTCAGCCACCTCAGCCAAAGAAGGGTTGGGATGGAGTTCGCGAGGCAAATAAATTTGGCTCCATCTGCTATCAAGTGAATGTACTCGCAATTAAATTAACTCCTACCGGCTCTGAAGACTGTTTATATTTAAACATTTATTCACCAAACATAAATCCCACGAAGCCTTTACCAGTCATGTTTTATATTCATGGCGGAGGATTTCTTTGTGGAAGTGGCAATGATGATATGTGCGGACCTGAATTCTTAGTACGACATGAAGTGGTTCTTGTAACATTTAATTACAGATTGGAAGTTCTAGGCTTCCTATGTCTAGACACTGAAGAGATTCCAGGGAATACCGGCATGAAAGACCAAGTAGCAGCACTCAGATGGGTTAACGAGAACATAGCAAACTTTGGTGGTGATCCAAATAACATAACAATTTTTGGCCACAGTGCTGGGGCTTGTAGCGTCAGTTACCATTTGATTTCGCCAATGACAAAAGGTCTTTTTCAAAAAGCTATAATAATGAGTGGATCCTTAAATTCTTTTTGGGGACAAATTTTTGAACCCCGAGAAAGAGCCCTCGCTTTGGCAAGAAGATTAGGATGCCATAGTAATGGGGATAAAGAACTTTACGAGTTTTTTAAAAACCAGCCAGTGGAATCACTTGTTAATATTCAGTTACCTATAACATTTAATGAGAAAGGTAAAGAATTATTTGAACTTAATTTCGGAATTGTAAGCGAAAAAGAAGGTGACAAGGATAGATTTGTTTATGGAGATGTTATCGCAAAACTACGTAATGGCATCCATGAGGGCATTGACCTCATAATGGGATATACAAAAGACGAAGGTCTAATTAGTTTAAGAAGTGATTTACAGAAAATAATAAATTATGCAAATGAATATCCAGAATCATTTGTTCCTAATTCAATAGCTTATAATTGTAGTATGAAAGAACAATTCCAAGTTGGCAGAAAAATAAAACATTTTTACTTTAATAATGATGCAATTGGCATGAATAATTTAAGCGAACTCATTAAATTTCTCTCTTTGAGCACATTCACTTACCCTATGTTTCAATTAGCAAGAAGTTGTTCAAGAACAAATAAAGTTTACTTTTATAAATTTACTGGGAAATCAGAGAGAAATTTAATGGCTCACGTTTGTAATGTTAAAAAAATAATGGGCGATGAAATACCAGTTTGTCACGGAGATGAATTATATTACATTTTCCCGATGAAGAGAACTAAACTGAAAATATGTAAGAAATCAAAAAGTTTTAAAATTATAGAAAATGTTACAAAACTTTGGACAAACTTCGCAAAATTTGGGTAAGTAAAATTTTATTTCATTGTAAATATGCAAATGAAATAAGATTTAAATTAATGTAAAATCTGTTTTGCAGACTGAAAAAAAATGTACTTTATAATTTTACAATGTATATTTATAGAAATCCAACGGCGCATGAATGTTTTCGCTTGGAATGGACTCCGTATTCAGTTGAACAAGATTACTTGGAAATCAATGAAGATTTAACGATGGGTACTGAACCTGACAAAATAGAGGTGGATTTCTGGGAAAACCTTTATAGAAATTATCTACCTTCCTCTATACCTTATTAATTTATAACTTCAATATTGTTTGAACTTTAGAATAATATCTGTGAAAAAATCTATAAATTACTGGCAAACTCAAAGAAGTTTAATTGTTTCTTAGTCTGCCCTAAGTGTATATTTACGATGACTAGATAGATGAATGGATTTATTACAAGTTGTCACCAGAACGGCTCAACGGATTTCGTTGTAAATTGTCATAGATTTAGAATATAGTCTGGTAAAACACATAGTCTAATTATATCACTTAAGTAGTTACGATTTCCGAAGGATAAGTTTCTCTTAACATATTTACTCGATAACTTCGGAATGATTTAACGTTTCTGATTGAATTCGTAACAGTTATGGAACACGTAATCTCGTTTAAAAAACCTTTCCCCCTGGAATTACCGTAATATTTTATCAGTTGTGCTGACGTACGTTTACAATTGTACGGAAATTTCCGTAAAATTAATCCAGCTGGTCTTATATACACAATCAGTAGCGTATTTTTGAAAAATAACACTATAACTCTTACTAATATCCACACTAATATTATAAAGCGGAATAGTTTGTTTGTTTGACCGCGATAACCTCAGGAACTACTGGTCCGATTTGAAAAATTATTTTTTGTTGGATAGTCCATTTATAGAGGAAGGCTTTAGGCTATATAACATTACGCTGCGACCAATGGTTTTTTTAATTCCGCGCGGACGGAATCGTGGGCGACAGCTAGTTATTGATGTAAATGTTTGGATGTATTGATGGATGTTATTTAAAAGGTATCTCCGTAACAGTTGTATGGATCTTTTTGAAATTAGCTAAAATGTAGAACATAGTCTGGAAGAATACATGGGTTATTTTTAATTCCGCGCAGACGAAGCCGCGGGCAAAAGCTATTAAATATTAAATACATTATTGTCTGTAAAAAATATTGTAGAGACAAGCATTAGCCCTTAGTAGCCTAGAGTTTCAATTTTGATACCAATCTTTTAAACCGAATGTTCACATCACTATTAGTTTTTTTATAGGTTGGCTGTACCTATTTTACTGTTGTATAATATTCTTTCCAACGAAATTAAAAACAAACAAATTTCATTATTGTTTTATTTTATCAAGCAAACACAGTAATATTAAAAATAAATCACTTTCGTATGTAAATCAGGCTACTAAGGGTTAAAGATGAATCCGAGTATTGTTTCTGTTCGATAATTTTTGATAATTAAACATTTGTTTTTAATTATTATTCAAACAAAAACTTGTAAAACAAATGCTGATAGGATTAAACAACTACATTTATACTTTTGTTTATTCATCATCAGCTCACTATACATCCCCATTGAGCGGCTCGGTGCCTACCCTAAGTTAAGGGTGATTAGGCCATAGTCAACCACGCTGGCCAAGTGCAGGTTGGTTGACTTCACACATATCTTTGAATTTCTTCTCAGATCTGCAGGTTGCATCACGATGTTTTCCTTCGCCGTAAGAACGTCGGATAAGTGTACATATGTAAATCGGAAATCGAAAAACACATTGGTATATGGCGGGATTCGAACCCAGGACCTACAGATTGCAAGTGCTTGACCCCTGAGCCACCGACGCTCTCTTTTTGTTTAATATTCACGATTAATAATGATTTTTTAATTAATAAAATAAACTATTACTGTCGTCCATTTATGCTTTTGCCCGCGATTTCTCATGTGTTACTCGAGACTATGTTGAGACAGAGTCGCGGGTAAAAAATAGTAGTAAGAAGCAAGACCTTCATAAGTTTAAATAATGATCTATATCGAATTTTATACATAGCGTTGTTAAAAACGATATGTCACAGCGTGCGCGTTTACATTTTTATGAATTTATGCGTCAGTATGCGTTCCAAAATACATAAGCGTACACCTGTATAGAAGAATTTAATTCAACGGACGGTTGTTGCCTAGTCAGTTTCTCTATAGTCAAAGTTCTACGCCAACTTCATAATTTTCATTTTTATTGCTGCTAAAGATAACGTTTTATTTTAACACAATTATCATTTAATTGAAGACAAAAAAATATCATTGAACACATAAAGAAACACGAATTTAATTTAGTTATTCAGTTATTCCCGGGTTTTTTTCGGCTACACTATAGTTAATTGTTGTATGCATTAAATATTCGTTAATATGTTTAAAATAAATGTCAAAGAGGGATTTCTTGAGGGGGAATTTACAGAAAGTGAATTAGGGGGAAAGTACTACTCGTTCAAAGGGATTCCTTACGCTGAACCACCTATTGGAGATCTGCGTTTCAAGGTAAGACAATAAAGCATCAATCTTCAAGACAAATTGTTCTTCAGATAAAATACTTAATAATTTTTAAATGAGACATATACTCTAGTCCAACATAGTTAAAAAAGACAGTAGCAGTTTAAGAATTTTTCTACAACTTGTTAACATAATTAACTGCTTAAATCATACGATAAGATTAAGTCTGACGCAGACTAAAATACCGCGTGTAATGAAATGAAACCCAAAGGCGATAAAATGCAAATTAAATTACTTATGCATCGTATATTTCAGGCGCCTGTACCGAAGAAACCATGGGATGGAATTCGAAATGCAAAAGAGTTTGGATCTATTTGTTATCAGTTTGAAATAAAGAATGAAGGAGGCTTAATACGTATCGGTTCCGAAGATTGCTTGTATTTAAACGTCTATACTCCTGAGATTAAACCGAAACATCCCTTACCAGTCATGTTTTACATACATGGTGGGGGCCTAACAATCGGGAGTGGCAATGATTCTATGTACGGTCCTGAATTCTTAGTAAGACATGGCGTAGTACTAGTGACAATTAATTACAGACTAGAAGTTCTAGGCTTTCTATGTTTAGACACTGAAGAGGTTCCAGGTAACGCTGGTATGAAGGACCAAGTGATGGCACTTAAATGGGTCAATGACAATATTGCCAACTTCGGTGGTGATCCGAAAAATATCACAATTTTTGGTAATAGCTACGGTGCTATTAGTGTAAATTTTCATTTAATATCACCTATGTCAAAAGGTTTATTCCAGCGTGCTATAATACAAAGTGGCTCATTGACTTGTCCGTTTGTTAGAATAATTCAACCACGGGAAAGAGCAATTGCACTAGCTAGAAGATTAGGATTTCGTTCTGAAGGTGACAAAGAACTTTATGAATTTTTTAAACGGCAACCAAAGGAATCATTAATTAAAATAACATTTCCTATCACTTATTATGAACAGGGAAAGGAACAGTATGATACACTATTTGGAATCGTAGAAGAAAAGGAATTCGCTAATAACGAAAGTTTCATCTCTGGAGATTATGTCGAAAAACTCCGTAACGGAATACACGAGGGTATCGAGATTATTATGGGATATACTGATGACGAAGGTCTTATATGTTTAAGATCTAGAAAAATAGAGAAGACTTTTGACTATGCAAACGAATTTCTTCAATTTTACGTTCCAAATGCAATAGCACACAATTGCACTTTAGATAAACAATTCGAAGTGGGACGACGAGTGAAAGATTACTATTTTGGAAATGAAACCATTACAACGAAGAATTTAAAGAAACTGATGACATTTTTCTCTTTGAACTACTTCACGTATCCTATGTTCCAATTAGTAAAAAGTTGTTCAAGAAAAAACAAAGTTTATTTCTACAAATTCACAGGTAAAACAGAAAGAAATATTATGTCTCGCATTTTAAAATTAGAATATCTTATCGATAATGAAATATTGACTTGTCATTGCGATGAATTGACTTACATTTTTCCAATGAAGAAAGAAAATTTGAAAATTGAAAAAGAATCGAAAAGCTATAAAATAATTGAGAATATAACAAAACTTTGGACTGATTTTGCTAAACATGGGTAAGGGATATATTATTTAATCCAACCCACTTTTTTAAATACACTCATACGTAATATAACAATTTTGTAAAATGTGTTTCAGAAACCCGACATCAAGTTTTGGCTTTGAATGGACACCGTATAACTCAGATGAACAAGCATACCTCGAAATCAATGAACAGTTAACGATGGGAATTGAACCTGACAAAACGGAGGTGGATTTCTGGGAAAACATCTACAGAGAATATTTACCATCATCTATACCATACTAAAATTATTTAAGTAATCATTTAAATCTAGTTTTTTGTTTCCTTTTTTTGTATTTTAAAATTAATGGATTACGTTTAAAATGGCTGTACAAAGCAATTTGCCATTTTCAACGTTTTTAACAAAAAAAGAGTTATATGACTTCAAAGTGTTACGGTACGCTAAATAACATTTAATTTGGTCATTTACTTTATTTGATGACAGTAAAAAATGTATAACTTATTCATGTTTTTTTATTTACAAAATAAAGCAATAATAAAAAATTAACAAAATACGATTAATATAACACAAACTCCATTAACATAATAAACTAAAAAGATAACCTGTCCCAAAAATTTAATGGAAATCGATTTATTTATCGAAGTAATGTAATTCTATTTGAATAATCATCGACTTGTCGCGACTTTATCAATTTAAAAAAGTATTTACTCCCGCACATCAGCTACCTTCCAGAAAAATTCCCGTCAAGTCAGTCCAGTCCAACTGTTTCACATGTCACACGGAACAAACTATTTTCGTTATTAAGCACGCAATTCCAAAATTTTCGCGAAATATGATTTCTTGAGGGATCTGGAGCATACCCTATACATGAATGAACCACGCTAGCCTAGTGCGGGTTGGTTGACTTGATACACTTCTTAGAATGTCTTTACTGACTGATGTCGCAGTGCGCAGTGCACGTTGATGCCGCCTCTCATCGGGCCAGATATCCTTATTTGACTATACTTTAAAATTACGGTTATCTAAAGAGTATAAAAAGATCCGTATCTTTACTATCTCTTTTGAAGATACAATGTAAAATTTTTGTTTTTTTTTTTATATCACAAGGTGGCAAACGTGCGAGCGGCCACCTGAAATCGCTGAAATAGCGAAGTGACCGTTGCCCATAGACATACGCAATTGCATATGCGTTGCCTACCTTTTAATCGACGGAGGAGAGGATGCACCGAAAGAAAATATTTTCCCTTTCCATGCATCCTCTCATCCGGAAAGTCCACTTCCACTTTCCATCCTTTCCTTATAAGAAATAGGATGGGAAGGGAAAGTGGACTAATTTTGGCCTCCGGGACGCACACTCATCAGACGAAACGCGGAATTGCTTCCACTTCACGCCTGTCTTCTGTGTGGTCGTGGTATTTCACCGGGCGAGCCGGGCCGATTCGTGCGAAGATGTTAAAGCGGGCTCTACCACTGTTATAATATAATTACAATCAGTATTTACCCGAGAATCATAATTGTTAGGTGAATTTGATTTTAATTAGAGAAGATATTCTCTTCATTTACATCGTTAAAATATAATTATGATGCAATTAACAAACTTGTCTATTTTCTGTTGGTCGCAGTCGGTAGTTTTTTTTATAAATTCTGATTTTATGCAACTGCCCGGTTGTATTGATGCATTAACCAGCCATCAAACAGATGGAATTAGAAGATTATGATCTTTTTTCATCCACCGTATTTCCCAAAAAGACAGCAATTCTAACCTCTTACTAGTACTCGGTGTCTTTAAATAAAATAAATAAATAAAATAACATTTAATACTTTCAATATCACAACACAATAAGCAAAAACATCACAAAAATAATTATAAACAAATAACACATAAAACATAACATTAATAAGAAACAGGAAATATTTACAAAGAGTGTTGCAATGCTGACCGGATAAGGTTTCACTCTGCTTTATATGCTGGGTGTTCCTCTCTGTACCACACAGCGCTGATCTTCCGTGAAACCCCATAGCGTTACCGTACGCCAGTTACAGCGGTGGAAAGTCAAACATAAACGTATATCTTAAAACTGACATGTTATAAAATATATTTAAAAGTAACAACTTCGATCATCATCAGCTCACTATACGTCCCCACCGAGGGGCTCGGAGCCTACCCTAAGTTAGGGGTGACTAGGCCATAGTCAACCACGCTGGCCCACTGCGGGTTGGTTGACTTCACACATATCTTTGAATTTCTTCTCAGATACGTGCAGGTTGCATCACGATGTTTTCCTTCACCGTAAGAACGTCGGATAAATGTACATATGTAAATCGAAAATCGAAAAACACATTGGTACATGGCGGGATTCGAACCCAGGACCTGCAGATTGCAAGTCAACCGTTAGACCACTGAGCCACCGACGCTCCTACTTCGATACAAATAGAAATTACTGCTATAATGTTCGTCTGCCTTTTACATATTTTAGTTTGGTACGCTACCAAACTTTAAGTGGTCTCCTTTAGTTTATGTCTAATACTAGAATCTACTTAAATTAACTACGATCATATTTGTTAACTGGTGGCAATATTTTTCCTTAACTCTGCCATAAAATCTTTAAGAATATACATCGATCAAAAGATTCGTAACTTGATCGCACTGGGCCGTAAGATTTATCTCACAATATGTTACACTGGAATCGGAAAACAAATACCAAGTTTAGCAACATTTTTTTTGGATTATTCTTCTCGAGTTAAAAATACAATTTAAAGTTGTTTAATTTTTCAAATATTTATTCTTATCATTACTTTATTATCAAAGTAATAAAATAAAGATTGTGTACATTTTTATCTGACGAGATATCTGAGAAATATTTTGTAAACGACACAAATCAGTTGATGACCATACTTTGACTGGGCGACTAGTACTAGTAGTAGAAGTATTTCTATACTCAGTTAATTAAAGTCATATTTTCGTGGTATAGAGTTAAGATTTTTTTTGAAATGGTTCAAGTACGTGTTAAAGAAGGATTGTTAGAAGGAGAGTTAAGTGAAGATGAAATAGGAGGTAAATTCTTTAGTTTTAAAGGCATCCCCTATGCTGAACCCCCTGTAGGTGATTTGCGGTTTAAGGTATGTTTCTGTTGTTTTTTTTTAATTAATTAAATGTTATATTATTAATTAAAATTAGCCAATATTAAACAAATATATTAATCGTTAGAAAATAAGAATATAATTTTGAAAATAATATTGGATTAATAATATTTTAGCCTCCTCAACCAAAAAAAGCTTGGGATGGTGTCAGAGATGCTAAGAAGTTTGGTGATATTTGCTACCAATGTATTTTAAACGAAGTAGACATTGGTTCATCTGCATCAGAAGACTGTTTGTATTTAAATGTTTATACGCCAGATATTAAGCCAAAGCATGCACTACCAGTCATGTTTTATATACACGGTGGTGGTCTGGTGAGTGGAAGTGGAAACGATGATATGTATGGACCAGAATTCTTAGTAAGACAAGATGTTATTCTCGTCACATTTAATTACAGATTAGAAGTTCTAGGTTTCCTTTGTTTAGACACTGAAGATATTCCAGGAAATGCTGGCATGAAAGACCAAGTTGCAGCGCTAAAATGGGTTAACGAGAACATTGCAAGTTTTGGCGGAAATCCCAAAAATATTACTATTTTCGGCCACAGCGCTGGTGGTCTAAGCGTTAGTTACCATTTAATATCTCCAATGACGAAAGGTCTGTTCCAACGAGCTATGGTTATGAGTGGATCCTTGACTTGTCCATGGGGACAAACATTTGAACCGCGGGAAAGAGGACTCGCATTGGCTAGAAAATTAGGATGTTATTCTGAAGATGACAAAGAACTTTACGATTTCTTCAAACGTCAGCCAATAGAAAAACTTATCGGTGTACAATTACCGATAACATTTTTTGAAAAAGGAAAAAAAACTTACGATTTATGTTTTGGAGTAGTTGACGAAAAGGAATTTGGCAATAACGAAAGATTCATATTTGGTGATGTTATTGAAAAATTACGCAACGGTGTACACGAGGGCGTTGAACTTGTAATGGGATATACCGAAGATGAAGGTCTCATTCATATGCGAATCGGAATATCACTGGAGGAAACGTGCGCCTATTCAAATGAATTTCGCGAATTCTTTGTCCCCAAATTAATATCTCTTAATTGCACGTTGGCGGAACAGTTCGAAGTAGGAAGAAAAATAAAAAATTTCTATTTTAAAGACGAAGTAGTGACAATGGATAATTTGAAAGAACTAGTTAAATTTTACTCTTTAAACATTTTTACTTATCCCATGTTCCAATTAGCAAGAAGTTGTTCATTGAAAAATAAACTTTACTTCTACAAATTTACTGGAAAAACTGAGAGAAATTTCATGGTTCGTACGTTAGCATTAGAGAAGTTTTTCGGTGATAAAATACCGGTGTGTCATGCTGATGAAATAAATTATATATTCCCTATGAAGAAAGAAAATCTTAAAATAAACAAAAACGCTAAGAGCTTTAAAATAATTAACCAGACAACTAAACTCTGGACCAATTTCGCGAAATATGGGTAAGATCTTTTTATCACTTTAAATGTCTGTTTTTTAATCTAGTACTTATAAAGTGTTAATTTGAGATTTGAACTGGAGAATTTCTGTAGTCTTCTGTAGTCAAAACGCGAACACCCATATCCATCGATGATTTTCATTTTAAAAACACTTTCTTATTCCAGGAATCCAACACAAGAAGGAATTTTTGGATTACACTGGACTCCGTATAAAATGCATGAAGAATCTTATCTAGATATAAATGAGAACTTAACAATAGGATTCAAGCCTGATAAAATCGAAGTTGATTTCTGGGAAAATATTTTTAAAGAGTATCTCCCAAAATCTATACCTTACTAATTTATTTGTTATTAATTGTATGTTTTATGTAGTTATAAGTGAATAAATACAGTATTATAGCTAACTTACACAATATCCGTCTCGAAGGACCAATGTTTGAACATATAAAAAGAACATTTCATACTTTTATTGTTATTTCACAAGATTAAAGGTTTTTGTTCTACGTTAATTTCCAAGACAGGTCAATACTGACACAAAATATCATCAGCCTTACGCGAAACAAAAATAACGATTATGACATTGTTTTAAAGTGCTGAATAATGGTTACTTATTACATTGTCAATCTCATTTGATAACGTTTTGTCAATCCTGATAGCAACTATAGGTTAAGATAAGATTCGAGATAAACCCTCCTTGTTTTCCTCATGAAAACAATGCAATTAATCCATAGAAATAATCATCCCATCTGTCATAAAAGATTTTTTTTTGTATGTATCGAGAAATAATAAACATTTGCTTTTAAAAAGTTCGTTTTTCTTTTACTAGCAAAAATTAACATTAACCAATATCTAACTGCTGCACCCAAAGATGCAGCAATTAGAAATTATCTAGAATAGACTATTAAATCTTTATTATTATATTTTATATATATATTTATAATTTATCCGACGTTTTTACGGTGAAGGAAAACATCGTGATGCAACCTGCACATATCTGAGAAGAAATTCAAAGATATGTGTGAAGTCAACCAACCCGCACTTGGCCAGCGTGGTTGACTATGGCCTAATCATCCTTAACTTAGGGTAGGCTCCGAGCCCCTCGGTGGGGACGTATAGTGAGCTGATGATGATGATGATGATGTAACTGTTTAAACTGTTTTAATTATTATGTTAATATGAAATCATTTATTTTGCTATTAGTTAAATAATTTTAATACTTCAAATATGTTCATTGTGTATTTTCTCTACTGCAGATTAGTTTATTAACGTTCTAGATAAACTGAGGGAAGACACCGCAGTCGTTCTTTAAACGTCCATTGGCCTGATGGATTTTGGTTTGCCTTGTATGATTTTACATAGCGCTACGTCGCTCCTAAGACAAAGCTTCAAGGCAAATCCATTCCGATATCTGTCACACAGTTCATACTATGATAGGCTTCAACGCTCAACCTATCTGTGCAATTGTATAACATTTTTAATAAATAAATTAATTAATTAAATCCGTGCGTGCGGTGCATCCTATGCGGGCTAATGGACGCGGACCTTAACGCGTACAGATTATACGCTTACATATACATCAGTTTCTAACAGTGGTCCTAGCACGAATATCTGTAATAATCGCCATCGTATCGTCATTGATATAATTTGTACAGCGCCCCCTATCGGGCGTAAATTACACCAAAAATCTCACACTAATTTCGACATAATTAACGATGATGATACGAAAACATTTGTCACAAATATTCCTGCTAGGCCCTCAGTATTGTTCCCAGAAGGCACCAGATGGAGAAACTGCAACGGATTAAAGCTCTAGCGGTTTCGGATTAGCAGAGAATGCCAGTAGAGATTGCAATATGCGGCCACTGCCAAATTGCCATGCACCTGTATTATATCTAAAATACTTATTAATGTTAAAAGTTTTATAACTTTATTGGCACAAAAATAACATTTCGTGAAATTATCTTAGAATTAGTACCCGGACTTTTTACTTTTAGATACAGAAATATTTTCTAAAAGGTAAAACGGTAACCTTTTATTCTATGTTAGACACGATAAAAAAAATTATAATCAGTTTAATTTTAGAGGTAATCGATTAACAAACGTAATTAAATTTTCATATAAAAAGCCTATAATTAAGATAACAAAATGACAACTTTAGCCGACATTATCAAAGCAAACATAGCACGTGGTTCTCGTAATTGTCTTTGAAATCTTGCAACATTTTAGTGTCGTTTAACTATCGTTAAATGCTCATAAATAGAATGTCATAAGATATAGTATTTCAAACTTCTATGAATCCTTATTCTATTATCATTTACTAATGACCTGAGACATATTAAGAGTCCAATAAAGTTTCAATTCTAATATATTTGATTGTTGTAATCGTTTAAAATAGATCATGCTATTTATATATCTTATATAAACATTTCATATCAAGTTGTATGTTCGGTAACGAACAGCGGGAACACCGAAGTGTTCAAAGACGCCCATGGACATCAGCAATACCAAAGGAACCGCAGATGCGTTGCCGGCCTTTGAGATAGTGATAAGCTCGCTTCTTGAATTTTGTAAGCATCTATAATTTGGTCGAACTTGGAAGACAGGGTAGTTTTTATGTCAATTATTGATCTTTTTTTAATTTGGCGCGGACGGAGTCACGGGTGACAGCTAGTATAATTATAAAATACGCAATTAACAATAAAACAATCTAAATTTATTCTGTATTTATAAACTGTCCTGTGAAAGACTATAAGAAAAGCCTTACGTTACCTATTTCATAAATATAAATGCTTAAATACTTAACTTAACTTTGTTTTTATTCAAAGGAAATTTCAAAAATCTACTGACTAAATAATTTCTTCAAAAAACAACATCAACGCCACGAAAATTACTTTTTAATAGGAGCTCAAATAAGCTCCTTAAATATAATCGGTTCTTTTCCTATCTTTAAAAATTTTAAATTATCGTTTCTTTTTGGTATTATCATTGCTTGTTTTTTTATTTATTGTTATGTCGCTTATACTTATAGTTGTAATCAGCTTCTAAGTTAAATGTTATGGGACAGACATGTTCAAAAGAACGAAAGTCCCTTAAGAAAATTAAGAAAAACAAATTATCACAAAATGTTTCCTGTTTTCTGATAAGTACGCTACAATAAAAATTTAAAGAAATCAATTAATTTTAATCAGTTAAATACTTACTAAATTGTGTTAATAAATACAAAGTAAGTAGTAAACATTTCTTTACTAAATAAAAACGTTTAATAAAAATACTCTTGCTTAGGATCTCGGAGCGTCTATACTTTTTTGGTCTTCCTCTACCCTTGTAGCCATCCACATTCAATCTCATTACTTTTTTGCTTATATCATCATCATCCCTCCTCGTAACATGTCCAAACCACGCTAATCTTTTACTCCTCAATTTCTCGATCACTGGCGCTACTTTCAAACTTCCTCTAATATACACATTTTTAACTTTATCCTTCCTTGTCACACCACACATAAAGATCATGACTTCATCCGTTTGGAATAAAAACACCTTTATTTAAGAAGTTATTAGTATATAAATATATTTAAAACTTTGTTAAAACTGCTTCATCATCATCAGCTCACTATACGTCCCCACCGAAGGGCTCGGAGCCTACCCTAAGTTAGGGGTGACTAGGTCATAGTCAACCACGCTGGCCAAGTGCGGGTTGCCTTCACACATATCTTTGAATTTATTCTCAGATATGTGCAGGTTGCATCACGATGTTTTCCTTCAACGTAAGAACGTCTGATAAATATACATTTTCAAATCGTAAATCAAAAAACAAATTGGTACATGGCGAGATTCGAACCCAGGACCTGCACATTGCAAGTCAAGTGCTTGACTCCTGAGCCACCGTCGCTCAGGAGTCAGAAAACTGCTTACACCGCTAGATTAACGATACTGGTATGAAATTATAATCAAGCTTCCTCGTTAATTTTCGATTATGTAAAAGTGAAGCAATATAGGTTATAAATACAAATTGTTTTAAAGTATAAATGTAGTTTAAAATTCGCGTTATTTTTTTATCGCATCAGTCTGTATTTTGTCGTAAAACATTTTCATAAAAAGTAATAAGAGTTGCCAGCAACTTTCCTGACATTCCTTTTGGCGAAAAGCTCTGGGTAACGTCAAAATCTTTTAAAAGCTCTACGAGACGTACTACGGTTAATAAAAAGCACATTCCGACTGGTTTTTATTACAAAAGTATAAATGGAGTACTTCTCTATTTTTCGGTGTCTTAATGGTAGTTTTTAAGACCGTCATTAAGAGAAAGAGGTCGGATACATTTTTTTATATCAATAATAAAAAATAATAGGCATAGTTATGGTTATTGTACTAAGACCAATAAATGTCTGTAATAATAAATTTCGAAATAAACAGGAATATCTAAAGCCAACGAGACACGTACTTTGGATGACTATGTTTTAAACAAAAGAGGCAACAACATTTTTTTGTCCCGTAGTTTCAAAAATGGAAAGCTTAATGTTTTTTTTGTTTTCTTTATAATGATATTAATTTTATTTATCGATACAAAGTTTAAACCCTTTTGGTGGTTAAGTGATAAACTCCATAGAAACATAAATATTGCTTGTTTCTTAATATTAAATATTTTGGGTAAATTATAACCATTTTTACGCATACGGATCAAATTTTAGTCTTAGGAACCAACAGTTAGACATTAATATCCTGTTTACCAAAACTTTTGAACAACACTCAATTTTTTATCGGAAAATGTGTCGTCAAGAACTGTATAAATAATACAACATTTTATATACGGTTTAAAAATATAACAAATGCAATTGAACAATTGGCATTCATTAAAATAGACTATAAATTCGCTGCACTGATTCTATTGCTTATTTAATTGGTACGTTACTGCTTGCATGTTTGTTTATAAATTGATTTATTAAGTGACACTCAAAGAACCGAAGTATTACAATGTATAAAAACAATAGAAATAAAAAAATGCCAATAAAACGTATATTTCCACTACCGAAACATCAGTACAAAAATATATTTAAAAAAGATAATATTTTGAACACCGTACCTATACCGGACCCTATGATAAACATCAACACTGATTTAAATCGAATACGATTCTTTAACTAATACTTTGTATACAAAAACCGGGACTAAATGTTCAATTTTATTATGAAGCAAAATAAAACAGGCTAAATAAATTTATAGCTATAAAATCCCTTCCAATCGTCTCTTCCCCTGTGGCTGTTATTTTCCGTGTGGGTCGTCGTAAATCTTACATCAAACCTGTACGCAATCACCTATTCGGAAAGTCGTAAATACATTACTGGAATCCTGATTTAACAATGACGTAAACCAATTCCCTTATGACAGCCTGGTACTTTATAAAGGTGTCCTATCCATACTATAAAGAAAATGTTGAAAAACAAATATTTTCAGCATTTATTAACATCAAAACAAAACTAAAATATCCACAAAATATATTTTTATATTCACCAATTATCATATTCACCAATCATATAAATATTCCTGACATTTTCCGCAAACAGTGTCGACACCACATCTACTCATAATCTTTCTATCAAACGAAATATTATAATACACTGCCTTACGCATATTCTCTTTCATGCAATCCATCCATACTTTTTACAGTCTTCCTCTCAATATCACAAATCCATCATATAAATTAAACTATTAAAAACGAGATGGTATAATCTAGACCAACTGCTATTACCAAATTCAAGGCAAAATTCTGTTTAATGTAACAT